AGTTTTCTGAAAAGCCAGAAGATACCCACTGGCAGAGTAGAATGTGAGTTTTCATTTTTAGGCTTTTTTACCCTGTCACTTGACTTGTGCTTTCCATGGTCAATTTTAGACCAAGTTATGTGGCTGTCACTGACACTCACGATACATTATTATCCAACAGACTTTGTCGAAAGCAGGACTGCCTGTGAAACAAATTTTCTTTGGAGTATATTCCTTAAAAAAGGACCAAATAATTAGAAAATTGATTTGTGAGTGTATGTAGTCATAATTGATGGCTCCATCCCTATGGAGCTACTCCCTGCCTCGTCTGTAGCTTTTGGTAATAACCTTTTATGACACTTTGTTTTTGTTCCATGGTGCCTTCAGGACTGAATCCAACACTTCTCAGTGTATACTTGTGATGTAGTCAGATGATGGAAAAACCACAAAAATCTCCAGTTAAGGTAGTTCAGAGATGGTTTATCACAAAAGCTTTGGAGTATTCCCATGGTAGGCATGTACCTTATCCTCATGCTACAGCTGATCTTACCCTCTCCCATTCTGCTAATGGATGGAGAAAGCTTCTGTTTTCCTATAAGTTTTCCTTGAGCTATATGGTTCAAACATTTATGATTGTTCATAAATGTCTGTATTTTGTGTGTTGGAGCACAGTTTGGCTGTTCTTTGTTCATGTAGAAGCTGAGAAAATTGTTTGCAGATAGAAATTGCTATGTAGATTGCAGAGGTAATGTTGAAATACACAGTCACTGGTGGCTGCGCTAGACCAGGCAACAGGTATCTTTCTAGTAATGAACATATTTCCCATTTTCTCTTTACTGAAGAAGCCTAAGGGAATCACAGATTTAAAAGTTCCTTTTACCAGTATGGTTCTTAAATACTGAAGTTAAAATAGTCAACTTCAGACATTATTGTGGTGATTAATCTGTTAGGGGAAGAACTGTCTCCTCCAGAAGGTCCTTATCTTTGGCTGCTGTCTACTCTGTTTTGATCTTCAGTTCCACACAGGCGAATGCCAAGTTCTGAAATGGTAACAAGGTCATTTCTTTTAAATAAGTAATATCTAAGCCAGAATGGGAAATGGATGGAGTGTAGTTGGTGACACTAATTTAGATCAGGTCACAAAATATTTTTGTGGGAAAATAAATGAGGTGCAGAGGTCAAACGTTTGCCTGTTTTCAAATAGGAGCAGGCTGTCTACTGTAGCTCTTCAGGCAGTGTGCTCATAAGTAAATATAAACACTGCAGAAAGCGAGTAATTAAAAAACCTGCTGTAAATCTTCTGACACTTTTCTGTGTGAAGAGATGGATGCTTATGGTAGTTGAGTGACTCCCTTGTCAATTTTGACATCCATCTTCAAAATAAGGTTACCTGCTAGGAAAGGGTGTCTTTTTTCTTTCTCTCAATCAATTGGGAGCTTAGACTGAGTTAAGTGAACAAATATTGTTGCTATTATGGTAGGGTAGTGCTGGCTTTTAAGCTTCTGATAGGTGTCAAAAGTGAGCACAGATTTAAACCCAAAGCCAAATGTTATCCTTTAATAAAAGAAGCCTTTTTACCTGTCATTATTTCTAATGAGGTGGTTTGAAAGATGTTTTCCTTCAACATCAGCATGTTTGTCATTGTACAGCAGTAGCAGTTGGGGTGCAAGTACTTACCTTTGGTGGTAGAAAATGACTGGTTTTGTTGCTTTAATTTTTTGTGTTCTTAATTAAATTTTTAGAGAACACAGCAAGTCGTTTTAAAAAATATCTTAGATGAACTTTTATAGCAAGTCTTATTGTGTGTGGTTGTATTAATGCAGGAGTTTAATCATTGTTAACTTTTCCTTTGACTGTTTATTTATAAATGATTTTTCCAACTGCTTAAATGTACCTGTAAATTAAGTTTTCACTGTAGGTGGCAAGATCCTAATTTTGAAGTAGTGTCAATGGAGTTTAGGGATAATATTGAGTAAAATTGTGCTTTTTAGTATCTGCACTGGGGAGCTTGCTTAATATTATTTACAGGAACACCAAAGAACAATAAAGAAAATGGGAAACAATTGGTAAATGGTATCCTTTAGGAATTTAAACCTAGTTGAAAATAATTTCCAAATTAATGGTCAGATTCTGAAATATTTTCACACAGCTAAATAAGAACAAATGGCAAGGTCAGTACTTGAAAAATATTGGCAATTATGATAGAGCTACCTGCTGCTCTGTAGTATTAATTAGGAAAAGAATCTATATAGCAGAACCACTAATTGTTTTTTGTGAGCTGGAGAGGATATATTAAAACAGAAGTGATTGTTAAACCTTCTAATAATGACAATAGAGATGTGATTTCTGAAGTTATTACCAGAAAAATATTAAGTCTAAAATTCGTTTGACACTTTAGCTAACAATGTGCTGCATAGGTGCACTACTCTATATATGCAACTAAATATCACTTGAATATTCATGAAATAGAGTTAATGTATTTTTCCTGGAAAGAACACCTCAGAAAGTGGTAGAAACCTTTTTAAAAGCTCTGCATTCCGTTATTTAAGTCTGTATCCTTTTGTTCTTCATGTGTCTGTGTGTGTGTATATATATTGTATGTATTTAAATTGTGATGTTTATAGTTTTTTGAGGGAGTATCTTGTACTGTAATGAGGTGATTAGAGTTGATAACCTGTGTACTTGTTAGTACAATGTTTTTCTACTGCTACTCTTGCATGTTTGAGTGGTTTCAGTGATTGCTGAACAGGAGTTGTAGGTGCCAAGGCCAGTAAAAGACCAAGGCAGGCATGAAGAACAGTCCTTTCATCAGTTTGCACAAAATGCTTGTAAGTTCACTGTGATTGGTTTTAATGTTTCCAGTCCAAATATATTACCCTTTTGAATACCCAAGTGTGCAAAGGAAAGAACTACATTGAGTCAGAGCATTAACAGTTTATTAATCATGACTGAATGTACCTGAAGTACATTTGTATTATTGAGGTAGAGGAAAGCCAGTTGTGGAGAATAGTTTTAAAACTCAATCCTTACAGTTTTACCACTCTATCCTATACTTCCTAGTAGATCTGCATGCTCTGTGTTAAACTTGTACACCTTGAAAAAGAATCAAATATGGTGAGCAGGTAGGTTAATCTGTGTCAGGGAACCGCTGCTAGTAAAATTCATCAAATGTAATTACTGTCACCAGTGAAATAGATGGTGCTGCAGCTGACTCCACTGATCAGGAGGTGCAGCAGCAGTGCCAGACTGGCGTGAAGTTCAGGTCTCATGCACTTGAAGCAGTCTGCAGTCAAAAACGTGTTTATAATGAGAATGTGAAATCTCAGGAAATGTATTAATAATG